CATTGTTTATAAAGTAAATTTACCTTTGGATAGACCAATTCGGGTTTCTGTTTGTAGGGATGATTTCCCTTCATTAGCTGATATGTGGAAAATGCCCTAACATAATAAATGTAAAATAGAGAGTTTAGTTTCAAAATAATTTCTAAAAATTAGATCAAAATCATGTAAAATAAAACATACGTCGTGATTTTCTGGACTATATCATTCTTAAGCTTTTTTGACAACGAACAAAAGCAAACCACCTTTAGGGCAAAGAAGAATCAACTGTCAATGATCCCTAACATTTAAAAAAGAAGAAAACATAGTTGTGTTGTTAGTTTATACTTATTTGTATGGGACAATAAGAAATGGCATGAACGTGAAGTTACTTACTGGCTCAGATATGGTGCAAGAAAGCATTCAAAATCTCCCTTTGCCAGTCTTTCTTGAATGTAGTACGTTGCGTGATCTTTATTGTTACTTTTTCTTTGGAGTGAGAGGGGGCACATCAACCCATATTTATTTTCTTTGCCAGATTCTTTCAAATTTTTTGTTCAAATGCTGTAAACAACAACAACAACAACAACAACAACAACAACAACAACAACAACAACAACAACAACAACAACAAAAATAAGTACATCTAGTTTCATAATATAAATAAAAATAATGGTTAAAAATTACTCAAGGGTCTCAATTGTACTCAAAGGCAATATACCAAAAAAATGACTTGGTAATGTATCCCCAATATTATCATTTTTACACATGAGCATTACCAATACCAACAAGAAGGTGAGTTTGCATTGTCCTACCAAATATCCTTTGTACCAAACAGGAATTAAGAATCTCCCAAAATAAAACAACAACTACTAAGAAAGTAATAATAACATAGGAGACGAGAATACTTGTAGATTCAGAACACGACAAGATTATCTGTAAGTTGTAACAAGACTGGATAAAGCTCATTTTTCCCTTTTTAGTATAAAAATTAACATTGAACAAGGTAGCAACAATATCACAACAATTCTGATAAAATTTACACAGTTCTCAGTAGCCATTCATGATATTATACACAGTCAGAAAAGTAGATGATTTCGGTTCGGTTTTACCGAACAAAACCGAACCGAACCGATAAGGATAAAAAAAATATATTAACATAAGTATATAACTATATAAAGGATCAACTTTTATATTCATTTATAAAATAGGGCTCACTTTTCAAATAATAATTAGGGCTCAGTTTCTAAATAATAGTTAGGAGACAATTTTGTAAAAAAGAAAAATAAGTGAAAGTAAGTTTAAAATCACAATTCCCCATCCAAATTCCCCACTCAATACTCGAATATCTTCATTGAAGTGCAACTTGCTGGCAGGGCCGTCTCCAGAAATTTGGAGGCCCCAGACATTTTTTCAAGACGCCCGTAATGTATATATTTTTTTTAACAGAACAAATAATAATAAACATTGTCAATAATAAACAAAAAACCATAAATATGAGCTAGAGTTGTAGGTTTTATATACCTATACATAGATCCGGCGTTGCAGGTTTTATATACCTATACATAGATCCGGCGAGAGATTTTGTTAATATCTCTTGCTTTCTTTCTTTTTT